AGCACTCAGGAGGCTGAGGTGGGAGAATTGTTGCAAGTTCGAGACCAACCTGGGCTACAATGTGAGCTCAAGGCCAGCCTGAACTGCATAGTGAAACCCCATCTCAAAAAAGACAAAACAAAAAGAAATCAAATATGAGAAAACAATGCTCTATGTGACAGAGAACCAGAGACTAATAGGGGCAACTAGACCAGTGTTTGTGGATAGGTTGGAAAGACAGGCTTTAATAGGTAAAGGAATACAACTAGAGATCAAGTCCAGGAGAGAGAAGGTTTGGAACCACTTAGGTAAATAGCAGGCTGCCCCCCTCCCCAATTTAAAACCAAGGGTCTTGGTCAGACCCAAAAATGTACAGTGTACCCTGGGGAAGAGAAAGGGGAAGGAGAGTCTTAAAAAAGATGGCAGAAGATATTGTTAATAGTGCATCAGGATTTAAAACCCACATTACTCGTACCACTCTGCTTGGACAGATTTTATTCTTTTTCCTTTTTGATAGATTTTATTCTGTCCCAGTTTATCTACTTGCATTAGATTTGAGGGCACAGATAGCTATCCCAAAAACATCAGGATATAGCACAGTAATCATCTTGAATTTCCTGTTATCTTAATCTGGAGCCCTGTATGACTTAACATTGTTTTTGTTTTTTGTTTTCTCTTTTTATCAGTACCGGGGATCGAACTCATAACCGCCTGCTTGCAAGGCAGGGACTTATATTGTTTTATCATGACTGATCTTAGTTAAATCTGGTTTGTTTGATTGCTGTTTGGTATCGACAGATTTTATTCAAAACTGCTATGATTGATAGTACCAAGTCTGAGAGTACAGGCAACTACACTGAAGATGACAAGACTCTACGATACACATTCTGGTTTGATAACTGCCTGCTTTTGAAGTTTTATACTATATACAAAGTTCTGTTATTATTAATACTGTTATGTACTGATATATTCAATTATACTATGTCTGGTGATATAGCCAATTCTATTGAAGATAACAAGAGACAACACAGGAACTATGGTAGAACTCCTTGTACAACAGTCTTATGTGTCTTTTTCATTCCATGTGTTTATAGGAATATGTTTTGTTTTGTCTTGCTTTGTTTCTCTCTCTAATATAAAAAGGATAGAAATACATGTTAAGATTCATCCATGTGTAGAATCTATAAACAGTTTACGAGAACTGATCTTAAGACACATGATGAAATGAACATACTCTGAAGAAAAAGAGACACTAAAGTACCCAGTGCTGTTCCTGGAGTGTCATAACGTGACACCAGCAATAGTATTATTCTTTGTTCAGAGTGATATTAGCCTGCTTGGGTTTGTTCAATCTCAACATAATTGAAGAGATGGATAACTGCATGTATGTTTAAGTGTTTAGGATTGATAACCATATTTTTAAGTTTTTGTGGATAGTTCAACAGAACTGGTAGCAGTCTCACTGTTTGAATCCCCACTTTATATGCTTCACTTTAGTATCTTGAATAACTATTTGTAAGAAGACAATCTGTAGTCATCAACTAGTGATTTCTTACTGTTTATTTTTTTCTTTGAAAGTATTATTTCTACTCATTTTGTTTCGTTTAGTCTTTCTTTAAATAAAATTTAAAAAAACAAACAAACCAAAATAAAAGACCCTACAGTACCCAGTGCTGATCCTGAAGTGTCATGATGTGAAATCCAGCAATACTATTATTCTTTGTTCAGAATGACTTTAGCCTGCTTTAGTTTGTTTAATCCCAACATAAATGAAGATATGGATAAGTGCATGTATGTTTAAGTGTATAGGATTGACAACCATATTACTAAGTTTTTATTGGATAGTTGAACAGAACTGTTTGCAATCTCACTGTTTGAATTCCCACTTTTTATGTTCCACCTTTGTATCTTGAACAATTATTTGTAAAAGGACAGTATGTAAACATTAGTGATTCCTTAACGTTTATTTTTTCTCTGAACGTATTACTTTTACCCATTTTCTGTTTTGTTTAGTCTTTAAAATATATATCTCTCTATATATATGTACTATATCTTCAACCTATAGGTTGACTCTGTCAGTGGTATCTTTTGATAAACAGAATATTAAGCCTAATAAAGTCTAATTTGTCTATCATTTATCATTAGCAACTTTAGCATCTTCTTTAAAATTACAGCATCCCAAACTGGGCACCTGTAACCCCAGCACTCTGTGAGGCTAAACCAGGAGGATCTCAAGTTGGGACCCAACCTTGCCATTTAGCAACTTAGTAAAGCCATGTCTCAAAATAAAAAAGAGCTGAGGATGTAGCTCAGTGTGAAGCCTTGGGCTCAATCCCTAGCAGAAAGAAAGGAGGAAGGGAGAAAAAAGGTAGTATTTGCAAATGCAGTTGTTTCCCATGTGGATATCCAGTTGACTCACTCCTAGAAAAAGGTATCCTTTTCCCTCCTGAATACCTGGATGTCTCTTTTACATGCTGTTTGGAATCACTGTTTATAAGTGGGTTCATTTCTGGACTTTCTAGTCAATTGGTAATCTGCCTAGAATTGCACCAATAGCACCCCTTCATTAGGACAGCTTTATACTAAGTCTTGCTTTCTGGTCAGGTAAATCTTCTAACACTTCCTCCTTTAGGGTTGGTTTGGCTATGCTAATTCCTTTGCATTTCCGTATAAATCTTTTCATCAGTTTGTCAATTAAAACACTAATGAGATTTGCCTGATACTGCACCGAACACACAGAATCAATTTGAGAAAACCTGACCATAATACAGCTTTCTATTACTTAGTTCCTCTGCAGATTTATTCAGTGCTGTTTTGAAGTTTTGAACACTTTTAGTAAAATTTGGTTTTTTTTTTTTTTTTTTTTTTTTTTTTTTTGGTACCAGGCATTAAACTTGCAACCTTACACTTGCCAGGCAGGTATTTGTGTCACTGAGTTAAAACTCCCAGCCCCCATTTTGTTCCTATTTTGTTTTTCATGCTATTGTAAATGGTATTTTTATTTGTTTTCAGTTTTTTGCTAGCATATTGAAATAGTTTGATTTTTATCTACTGAGTATTCTACAACCTTGCTAATTAGGTTTTACATAAACCTAATCAGAGCATCTGCACCTAACAGTTTTATTACTCTTTTTGCAGTCTTCTGCACCTCATTTCTTTTTCTTTCTTGTTGCATTTGCAGGGATTCAGCTCCATTCCTTGCTTTTTTCTCTGGGGTGCTAGGAAGGGAGCCCCAGTCTCAACACATCACTGAACCCTCTGCCACGGAACAGCACCCCAGCACCAGCCTCCATTTTCTCCCTCTGCATTTTTCACACAGATTTCAACACAGATCCTTCTCATCAGTAAACAAAAGAGGAAGGAGGCTTAGCATGGCGGCAAGCATGGCTTAGCATGACAGCGAGGGAGCCATGGGCTCAAAGTCACAGTGCTGTGTCACAGTGTTATTTCTACCCAGTTGGAAACACATGAGTTCTTGTGTTGCAGCTGAGGAAGCACAAAAAGACAGAGAGGCAGGAACAGAACCCAGCAGGACCTAGGTGAGGGGGTAAAGGGAGAGCAGGAATGGGGTGGTCCCTTTCTTAGCACAGCTGTCTGGGTGTCCCTAGGGCCCTGCCCCTCCCCAAGGCCCCTGTGGACTGGAGATGAAGGTTTCACACACACACACACACACACACACACACACCCCAGTTATTCTGTTATTCTACTTCAGATCCAACAGAAACCCAAACTCAAAGCCACATTGGGGGGCTGAGGATGGGGGCACAGGGTGAATGAAGTCAATTCATGTTCAGGAAGAGGAGGTAGAGGTGGTGAATTCTTTTATTTGAAAGGCCTGGGGCACACACGATTTCAGATTTGGGAGTTTGGGGGGATTTCAAAACATTTGTTCGTCCTTTACTAGTTGGGCATCCCTAATCTAAAACAACTAAAACTCCTCTGAGCACCAAGATTTTCCCATCAAGCACTCACAACATGTGAAGAGCTAACTCCCTAAATGAGGGGTAGGCTATAATCCCTACACTCGGGAGGCTGAGGCAGGAGGATCACTATGAGCTCAAGGCCAGTTTGGGCTACACAGAAAGACCTAGTCCCCCCTTAAAAAAAAAAAAAAAACAAAAAAAAAACGAAGAGAATGAAACGTTTATTATTCCAAAATCCTACATCTAGGTTTTACAACCATCTGCCAGCTTACTCAAAGAGAGCCACTCAGTCTAATAAAGCCAATTTATCATTCTCAAATTATGGTCACATGTTAGCCTGTATTTCAGTTTATCACACACCCAACATTTTACTTAAAGCTAAAGGAGGTGCACAGCTCAGAGCTCAGAAAACAGACTGAGCAGGTCAAAAACAACCAGGTTCCTGTCAGGAACTACCTCCCCTCTCGACCTCCAGTGGACTCATTCCATGATCCAATCACCCAGAAAGGCAGCTGAAGAATATATACTTAAAAGCAATGACATGGGACATGTATTCAGAAAGAATGTTGTTTTCATATATCATTTTTTTTTTGCTGTTGTTTATTTAGGGAAGAGATACACTAGAGATACACTTAATTTTTTAAACATCTCTCACTGAGAGCTTTCCATGACATCTTGGTAGGATACAGGTCAGTGGCTAGGAACAACAGAGCTCAACACAAGCATGAAGCTCTGGGTTCAATTCCAGCATGATAACAAAATAAAAGAAAATTAATGGCGGGAAGGAGGCCTGCAGCACAGATGTCCTCTTCACAAGTTTCTCGGATATATTAATAAATAATTACATAACTCAGTGTTTCAAAAAAGTGGTGTGCCATTCCTGCACTTCCATTAAGGAGAGCAGTGCCTGTGTGTTTGCCTGAACGAATCACCAAGTACAAATGCTTCCCACCCGTCGGGTTTAGAATTGAGGTTAGGATTAGGGTGATTCTTGGATGGGGACAAATCAATGAGCGCTGCTCACTTCGGTAAGGGGCTCAGAGCCTGGAGCGTGGGCCACCGGGGTGCCCGGGGGCATCTGGCCCTGGGGGAGCTCACCTTCACGCGTTCGTAGTAGCTCCCAGAGCCCAGCTTTGACGAACAACGGAGCTCGGTGGGCTGCAGGGCCCGCTGCAGCCGGTTCACTAATAGGTTCACCGCGGTGGCCGCCACCGATTTCTCCTCTAGCCTCAGGCGCAGCTGGGTCAGCACTTCGCGGAGCTGCCGGGCGGGAGTGTCGCGTAAGGAAGCCCGGGCACCGCGGGCTGTGGGCTTGTGGGTCGGGCGCTCCTCCCGGGGTTTCTCCTCCTCCTCCGGGGGGTCCTCCTCCTCCGGGGGGTCCTCCTCCTGCTCGCGGGTGTCCCGGACAGCCCTCCTCTGCGCCCGTGGCGGCCGCGTGGGTAGACCGCACTGTCCCACGCGAGCCGGGGTGGCCAGGGGTGCGGCCCGAGACCTGCTGGGCTTGGCCCGGGTTGCCTCCGGAACCGGCCCCGGACCTCCGGGGGAGGGGTCTCGGGCCTGGGGTGCTGTCTGCTCCGTCTTTCGGCGTCGAGGAGCCATGTCTCCCAAGAAGGAAGAGCTGACTTAGCGGAAAGGTGGCGGACAGGAGAACCGGCGGCCACCGCTGGAAATGAAACTTAGAAACTGGCGCGCGAGGCGTCTGCGACCGGAAAGGAGCCGAAACCACGCCCACCGGGGAGGAGCCTCGATACCACGCCTGGGATGTTGGGGAGTAGGAGCCCCAAAGCCTCGGAACCTCTTCCCACCTGAGGAGAGGTCTCAATATCTAGCCCCTCTGTGGGGAAAAAGGACACAACCCCTGCCTGCGAGGGCAGAGCCCGAGTCCCACACCCAAGCGGGGAGGAGCCCCAGAGATGGGCAAACACCCATGTTTCCCGAATACCACCTAAAATTATTGTGGAAAACACATATTTTTGCATATTGAAGTTGACAGAGAAATTTTTTTTCAATGTAAGCTAAATTAAAGGTATTTTTTTTACTTTTAATGAAAAATAGAAATATTCAAACTACATGATAGAATGAGATGAGGCTTGATGAATTAGAATACTATATTACATTTTATTTGACCTTTTTAAAAACACATAACCTCTTAAACAACTTGTTTAAAGTTCCTATCTGGAGTGTTTTCCTTGTTCTGTGTTTTGCAATGTTGGGGCTCAAACCTAGGGGCTCAAGCAAGCCAAGCAAGCATTCCATGTTCTTTAGAGCTACAACCCCAACCCCTATCTACACATCCAATGACTGGACTAAGCACCTCAGAAAGCCAATGCTTGGAGTTTAATCATCCATACTGTTCTGTATGGTGACACACACCTGTAATCTCAGCATGCTGAGGCAAGAGGTTCCAGCCCCACCTGGGCAATTTTCGCATTTAGACCTTTAGAGACCTTATCTCAAAGTAATCTGCCAAACTGATTTAGCAGTTGTAATTCCAGAGTATCTTAATGGAGGCTTCAAACATCTATTTCTAAGGTAACATTTCCTGCTTTATAGAAATGCATATTAATCAGAAAGCCCTTGGTTACTTGATTATTGTTGGTGGTAGTGTTGGTGGTGGTAAGACAGTATCTTGCTATGTAGTTCAGGCTGGTCTTGAACTCACTATGTATCCCAGGCTGGTCTCAAACATGTTAGATCCTCTTGCTTCAGCCTCCCAAGTGCTGGGATTACAGTCATACATCACCACACCCAACTTTATTACTTTTAAAAAAAAATCTTAACCATATGGCTGTTACTTTTCTCTTATTGATGAGACAAAATACCCAACACCCAAGTTAAAAGAGTTATTTAGGATTATTTAGCTCAGACTTGTAGAAGGTTTCAGCCCATTATCAGCCGGCTCCAAGATAGGGTGGAACATGGCAGAGGGGCAGCCATTGATGGTGCCAGAAGATACCAAAAGCAACAAGAGCAAAAGGGAACAGCAAGCCTTTTTCTCTCCCTTATATTGTATGCAGGCTACCCACCCTGGGTTAAGTGTAATTCTCAACCTCTGATCCCAACACTAGACAAGGAACCAACCACAAACTCTAGATTCAGCTGCCACCAAAAAGCCCCTTTCCCTGTGACTACATGAGCCCCTGAGGACATACAGACAGAAACCATAACATTCCACCCCTGGATCCACAAAGACTCAAAAACAAATGTTTAAGCAAAAGGCATTTAGTCCACCTCTAAGAGTTGCCAAAGTCCTATCAGTTTCCACACTGCTAAAAAGTCCAAGTCCCAAATCTCCTCCAAGATATAAGGCAAACTCTTAGCTGTGAGCCCCAATACAAAAGTTAAACACTTCCAACATTCAATAGCATGAGATAAACATTTCCTTTCCAAAAGTTACTAACAGGTGGGTAGAAAAGAATGGGACCAAAGCGAGTTCAAAATCCAGGAGGACAAACATTAAATCCTGTAGTTCCATCTGCAGCATCCAAGGCAATCTGACAATTCATGGGTTTCAAAGGACTTAGGTGACTCTGTCCATATGGAATTTCCAGTAGTTTTAGCTCCTTGGCTTCTGTCTTAGGTCTGCTTTGCTCCTTCCTTCCCGCTTTCCTTAAGTGATCCATGTTCCTGACTTCTCCAGGGTTCCCACTGCACCTTTGGCTTCACCCTCACAGCCTCCCAAACTGGCCTTACACCGTCACACTGCCTGGCCTCTGAAATTAGAGTGGAAGCCTTCTTAACCCCTCAACTCTTTATTCTGAATGCACCTAAAAGCAGTGACACATGAATAAGGCCAAGGTCTGCTGCCAGTTGGAGCAGTTGCCAGGCTGCCCTCTCTCTTGGTTGTAGGGCTCAAGTACCTGGGTAGCTGAGCACTCAGAATTTGAGGAACAAATTCTTTATGTTGCTTCTATTCACAAAAGATCAGCAACTGGGATGTCATCTTATTAAAAAGCTTCTGTTAGTCACATTAGCCAGGAGACAGCTGAGCCATGCCCTCCTATCAGCCAGCTGCAGTATTGTGGCAGGGAAAGAAAAGCTTCTCACTCATCCCCATAAGCAACCAGCTGATTTGGAGGAACACAGGCTGAGATGATAGCAACTGAAGTAAAGAAACAACACTTGTAAAGTTTGACTGACTTTGCAGTCCTAAAGCCCATAGTCTGAGCACCCATTTAGAGGGTAACAATAATTACAATATAGTAATTATTGGGGATTTCCTACTGCCTTGTTTTTGTAACCCAATATTGTTTTCATTATTTTATTTTGTTTCACTTCTTTTATTTCCTTTAAAATAAATAAAAATAAAGCTTTCGCACAGCAAGAGAAACCATCAACAGAGTCAAGAGACAACCTACAATGTGGGAAAAAATGTTTGCCAGTTGTTCCTCAGACAAAGGATTACTATTGAGAACATATGAAGAACTCAAAAAAAATCAAGCCACCCAAATTTAGAGATCCAGTTCCAAAATGGGCATCTGTGATAAATACATACTTCTCAGATGAAGAAATACAAACATTAAATACATGAAGAAATGTTCAATATCACTGGCCATTTGAGAGTTGCAAATTAAAACAACACTGCAATTATGTCTGACTCCAGAAAGAATGGCTATTATCAAGAAATAAACCAACAACAAATGCCGGAGGGTAGTGTGAAAAAGGGAATCCTTTTTCCACTGTTGGAAGGGTAGACTGGTGCAAGTGTTGTGGACATTTCTCAAAAAACTAGGATCCCAAGTCTCATTTGACCCAGATATCCTCCTCTTGGTATAAACATCATACTGACATATGTATACCCAAGTTTATAGCAGTAATAGAGTAATAGTAATAGTACAATGTATAATAGATAAACTTTAGAACAACCTAAATGCTCAGCAACTAAGGGAAAGATAAAAGTTTTTTTGCTTTTTTGTTTTTTTTACCAGGGATCAAATTCATCACCTTGTGCTTGCCAGGCAGATGCTTGTGCCACTGAGCTAAACCCTCAGCCCAAAATGTGTTTTTTTTTTATACAATGGACTATTATTCAGTCATAAAAAAGAGTAAAACAGTATAGTCACAGTATTATACAAACACAGCAATAGTAGCATTAGTGTATGCTTTAGTTACTTTTCTCATTACTCAGACAAAATACCCAGCACCCAAAGTTAAAGAAGGAAAAGTTTCTTTTGGCTCATTGTAGAGGTTTCGGTCCATAGTTGCTGACTCCAAGCCAAGGTGGCATGGCAGAGAGGCATCACAAAGGATAAACAGTCCATGGCAGGCCGAAGGCAACAAGGCAGCTAAGTAGTGATGAAACAAATTAAAACAACAGCAGCCCTCTTTCTGCCCTTGCATTGCATCCAGGCTACATGCTCTTAGAATAGCACCCACACTTAGAGCTGGGCACCCTAAACCCTATTTATAATTATGTCAGACCAATTTGTGGACTACTTTAGTAATCACACACCCTTGATCCCAGCATCATAGACTCCAGATCTATACACCTATGACGACATGAAGCTTTGGGAGGACATGTAGACACAAGCCATAACAGTGTATGTATAAAAAAGATAGAAGCCAGGAGGAGTAGTGCCTCCTGTAATCCCAGTCCTCCGGTCAAATATATTGTTTGTCGATAGCCACAAGAAAATACAGCTGGCACAGAGCAATAGGACGGGATCGCAGCTTGCATCCCAGAGCCATTGGGTTGGAGCCCCGAGCCCTAAATCCTGTTCCCAGCCGCCCGAGACCGGAAAATCGCGCCGAGCCGCAATTAGCGGCGACGCTAGACGCAGGCGCGCTGCGAGTGACGTCAGGCAACATGGCTGCGTCCTGCTTGGTTTTCCTCGTCGCTTAGGCAAGCCCTGGATTTCCACCAGCATGTTTCCCCTCCGAGGCCGTGGCCTCTGGGTCGCAGCGACCCTCTCCAGACAACACCTTCCGTCTGCCCGGCTCAGCGGCGACAGCGCGGCGCCCCGCTCCCCGCACTTCGACGTGGTGGTCGTCGGCGGAGGCCATGCGGGGACCGAGGCTGCTGCAGCCGCCGCGCGCTGCGGCTCCCGGACTCTGCTCCTCACGCACCGCGTAGATACGATCGGTGAGAATGTGAGCGCCCCGGAAGCCGGCGCCCGGCACCCCCATTTCCCTCTGCTGCCCGCCCGGGCCTATAGAGATCCGGTTCTGGCGGGTACGCTGTGGTCCAGGCGGGCGACCGCGGAGCTGCTGCTACCCTTGAAGAAGTTGTTGCGCTGGGGAGAGGCAGGCACGGTGTCTCGGGAGAGGCACAATTTTCAGAAACACGAGGTGGCAGCATCTTAGTTTGTTAGTAGGTTGTTTTTCTGTCTTGTTACCTCAGGTAAAAGGTGGCTTCGTGCCGCTTGCAGTTGTTTATTGAGCGATGTGTGTGTTTTTGAGATTTTATGAAGCCCTTTTGAAGAACGACGCAACCTATTGCATGCTATGGTTGTGTTTAGGATACTCAGTGATTCCACACCATCTTATAAATGAAGCCTTCCTTTCCTTTTGCCTTTCAATTAAGAGAGAACAGTAAGTGGAATATATACCTTGTTTTCTAAAAATTGTGAATAAATCACTATTTGTACATTGAAATACTGTACATAAAAATTACAATTCTGTTTGCAATTAAAGGTTACCTTTTTAACCGAGGATTTAGTTAAGCGGCATAAGAACCTGTCTGGCAAGTGCGAGGTCGTGAGTTCGATCCTCAGTACCAAAAACAAAACAAAAAACAAAAAAAACCGGGAAACTTTTGCGGGGAAAGGCGAAGGTGTCACATTTTGTACCTGGTCAACATATGGAGTTGCATCCCTGACCCTGTTGTGTGTTTTTCAATTTTATGTATTTATATATTTTTATGTATTATTTTATATATTTTATATATTTATATATGTTTAAGACAGGATCTCCCTAAGTTATTAAGTTACACCGCTTGGGTTTTAATTTGGAATCCTCCTACCTTGGGCTTACAGAGTGCTGGTATTACAGGTGTGTACCACCATGCCCAATTTGAGAAGTATACACTTTTGTTGGAGGGTTTTTGAAACAGGGTCTCACAGTGTAGTCTGGGCTGGGCTTGAACTCAGTATGTAATCTAGCCTGGCCTTCAACGCACAGTAATCCTTCTGCCTCAGCCTCCTCAGTGCTAAAATTATAGGTGTGCACCACCGTAGGTTGAGAAATGTACACTGTTAAAATCTATTGTTTGAGGAGCAAAGAGACGGTATGATTCCAAATTTCATTTTGCTCTTGTGCCTCCAATGTTTGTATTTTTTAAAAAATAATTATCTGGTAAACTTTTGCACTTCAGAGAGAAACAAAGTGAGAATCTAATGAACAAAAAAAGTATTGTTGAAACTAAGTTAAAGGTTAAATACTGTAAGTAATATTCAGGATTCCCATATCTTTATTTTGAATCAACATAGTTGTAACTACTTGAGTATAGTGTAACTTTTCAATACATGTATACAATGTGTAGTGATCAAATCAGAGTAACTGGCATTATCTGTTAGCTCAGGTATATAATTTCTTCGCATTGGAAACACTACTCACTTTCTTGAGATATTCAACTAAATATCTTCAGCCATAGTTAAATTTGCTGTGTTATAGAACATGAGAAGCTGTTTCCCCTGTCCAGCTGTACCTGTATACCAATTAACCATCCTCTCTCCATTCTTTCCCACACACACAAACACACATACAAACACACTTCCCAGATTTGGTACCCATTATTGTGTTCTGTGTTTCTTTTTTATCAGCAGTTTTGATTCCACAGAGTAAATGAGACCATGTCTTATGCACTTAACATAATGTCCTCCAGTTCCATCTACATTGCAACAGATGACAGGTTTCTGTTCCTTTTTATGATTAAATATTCTAGTGTGTAAATGTGTGTGTGAATGTGTGTATATGCCTACTACTTTCTTCAGTTGATGAACATGTAGGTTAATTTCATTTTTGGCTATTGTAAATAGTACTGCAGTGACTGTAGGAGTCAGATGTCTCTTTGACATACTGACACAAGTTCTTTTCAATGTATACCTCGTAGTGAAATACCTGTATCCTTCCATTAATGCAATATAACCTAAGTTTTCTGTTTTGATAAATACATTTCAAAGATTTTTTAAAAGAACTTTTATGTATGAGCTACTTTCAGCTTATCTTCAAACTAGCCACTATCTTCATGACTGCAGTAGTTTCACATCCAGATATGAAAGCTTTCAGCAAGATTTTTCTTATTTCTGGAGACTTAATTACTTTTCCCTCATTACTTAATAATGCCCTTGACCGCAAACAGGCGTAACATGATTACTCTGTACCAAAATAAGCACACCTAAGTGAGTTGAGGTCATACTCTGAGCACAAAACCTCATGAAGTGGGAGGGAAGAAGATAACTTAAATGCAATTATGACTGTTTCAGAAGAATAAGGAAGAAAATAACCATCATCCCTGTTTTCACAGGAGTAAAATTCAGGTATAGAAAGTCAGATAGCTTGCTGTAATCATAGAGCTGGTAAGATCTAGAAATTGAGCCAGGTTCTTCTACACATTCTTCATACATAATCCAGATGCTTATCCTCCCTGCACTATTCAGCCTCTTTGGAGGCCATTAAAACTTTGAAAGGCTTTGATGATAATCATAGCAGTAGCAATTGTGTAGATGCTGACACATCCACCTCACATAAAAATCTTTGAGGCAACCACATAGCTTTAGACCTCCAAATAAGTTAGGGTCAATTTAAAGGAAAGGGATAAAATATAATCTTAATTTTGAAGATTATGTCTACAAAATAAGAGCAAAAATAAAACAAGTGGCATTTATAAGCCATAGTTGATGAACCAGTCCAAAGAATTTCTCCACAAAGTTTTGCTTGATGTGTCGGTGTACACTTGTAGTCCTAGCTACTCAGGAGGCTGGGGTGGGAAGATTGCAAGCTCAAGGGCAGCCTGAGCAGCTTAGACTCTCAAAAAGTAAAAGGGGCAAGCTAGGCATGGTGGCGTATGTCTGTGATTCCAGCACTCAGGAGACTGAGGCAGGAGGATCATTGCAAATTCAAGACTAGCGTTGACTACTGAGTTCAAGGGCGGCCTGAACTATGTAGTGAGACCCTGTCTCAAAAAGACAAAAAAATAAAAGAGACTAGGGTGAAACTCAATGGTACAATACCCTGGGTTCATTTCCCAGTACCCCCAAAAAGACGTGCTTGATTTAAGAAGGTTGCATAAGGTACAAAGTCCATGTTTCAAAAGCAACCCAATGAAACAAAAATATACATAAAAAGATTTGAAGAAAGATAAGGGACAGATTGGTGTTACATGCCTGTAATCCCATCACTCTGGGAACCTGAGACAGAATTGCAAGTTCAAGCCCAACCTGGGCACCTTAGTGACTTAGCAAGACCCTATCTCAAAATAAAAAAAGAAAAAAAGGACTGAGATGTAGCTCAGTGCAAAGAACCTGGGCTCAAGCCCCTGCAGAGGAGACAGGTAGGCAGGGTAGGAGGATCAGTAAACTAGTAAGCATACTGTGGACAAGTTGGGAACTTTATGGTATAGATCTCTAGCTTTCTATTTTTTGTTGTATAGCAAGGTGATTCTATTCACTTACATGAATATTTCTTTACTAAACCCTATGCATAGTGCTCATGCATTTATTTCATGTCTGTTCTCTTCAGGTCAGATGTCCTGTAATCCTTCCTTTGGTGGCATTGGAAAAGGACATTTAATGAGGGAAGTGGATGCCTTGGATGGCCTGTGTTCTCGCATCTGTGACCAGTCTGGTGTGCATTACAAAGTGCTAAATCGGCGTAAGGGGCCGGCTGTATGGGGACTGCGAGCTCAGATTGATAGGAAACTCTATAAACAAAACATGCAGGTAAGGATAAGTCGTGAGAACAGGAAAGACTGCAGTGATCCTTTAACCACCATGTTTTAGCTGGCCTTCTCTTTTGTCAGAAAGAAATCCTGAACACACCACTACTCACTGTTCAGGAAGGAGCTGTGGAAGATCTCATTTTGTCAGAGCCAGAGCCTGGGCACACTGGGAAATGCCGTGTCAGTGGTGTTGTTTTGGGTATGTATGTAACCGTTACAGGTGCTGATAACATCTTAGCAAACTGAATGTAAGAAACTTATTTGTGAGCCAGATGTGGTGGTGCATGCCTATAATCACAGCTCTTGGGACACTGAAGCTGGAGGATCATTGCAAGTTCAAGACCAGCCTGCACTACAAAAAAATCTATTTGAGAGCAAGGTTGTAAATATTTTTCTTATTCCAGGAAATTTTTGGTTTTCTCTTCTTAGATTAGGAAAACTATGTAAGTAATCATGTTTCTTTCCATTTTGGCCATCGTGAAGCTTAGGCATATTCTGGGCTTATTAGTTTTTTTTTTTTTTTTTTTTTGCCATTCAATATTGAGCACTGAACCCAGAACCTTCACACTGAGCTATGTCCCCAGCCCTTTTTTATTTTTGTTTTGAGACAAGATCTACAAAGTTGCCTAGATTGGGCACAAACTTGTGATCCTCCTGCCTCAATCTCCCAGAATCCTGGGACTATAGGCATGGTGCATCATGTTTAGCTTTATCAGTACTGCGTTAGTACTGCATGTCAGCGTAGGACTGTATATTTGCATCTTTTCTGCTGGTCTTTTTAAATTTGTTTCTTTTCTTTAGTTCTGACTTTAAATTTTAAGATCTTTGTCTTTTACCAACACACACACACACACACACACACACACACACACACACATATGTTTACATAAATCAAAGTAATGAATACACATTTTCTCTCTCTTTTTTTTTTTTTGTCTTTTTCCTTTTTTTTTTATCGGTACTGGGGATCGAACTCACGACTGCCTGCTTGCAAGGCAGGCGCTTATGCCGCTGAGCTAAATCTCCAGCCCCTACACATTTTCTCTTAATTAAAAGAAATTTAGCAATCTGTATGGGAAAAAATAATTGTATGGGAGCTGAGTGTGGTGGTGCACTAGTGAGTTCAAGGCCATTCTGAACTATACAGTGAGACCCTATCTCAAAAAAAGAAGGACAGAGAGAAAGAAGAAAAAAGAAAAGGGAAAGAAATTTGTATGGGAAAAAAACTAATGTATCCCTTGCTGGTGAGAGCTGTGTGGCCCAGGGTGACTTCAAATTCCTGGCTAAAATGATCCTTCTCATGCCCTAGCCTTCCAGGTAGACTGGATTAACTATAGGCATATGTCACCATGCCCAGATACCTTAATGTCACTTCTGGTGTACCTTCATATTTGTAAACAGTTTTTCTTCCTATATTTATTTTCTAAATAATCAGCCTTAGACATTACTTACTAACATTTTGTTATTCTAAGTGTCTTTATTCTTATACTTTGCTTTCTCCTACCTTTCCAGTATAATGATGGCATAATTTATTTATTTTAGGTTGCTGGGGATTGAACCATCTCTTACATGCTAAACATAAGTTCTACGCCGGAGCTAAGCTCCCCAGCCCCAATATGTCATAACTGACAGTATTCATATCATTATGATTATTTAAGTGTTGTTTACTGTAGGTTAGAATAGAACATTGTGCTTGTTTCTCTCATAACTTTTTTAAAGTGTGCTTTATGTATCAGTATCATTTTCTTTTCTTCTGATACTGGGATTAAGCTCAGTAATCTTCACAGTGAGCTACATCCCCAACACTTTTTTTTTTTTTTTTTTTTTCGAGGCAGTCTCACTTTAGTTGTCCAGGCTGGGCTCCAATTTGGTACCTCCTGCCTTTGACTCCCAAAGTGCTGGAATCACAGGCATATGTTTGTTTTAGAGACACTCTTACTGTGTGGCCCAGGGTGACTTCAAACTCCTGGGCTAAAATGATCCTCCTCATGCCCTAGCCTTCCAGATAGACTGGATTAACTATAGGCATATGTCACCATGCCCAGATACCATTTTTTTAATGCTCAGAGAGATTGCGAGTGATCACTGTTATTTCTTTGATATTCCTGTCAGACAACTGCTTTTTTAGCCCATGAGTCCCTCTGTGATTTGCAGACATCACAGGAGTTAAGACTGGCCTTGAACTCACTGTGTAGCAAAGGCTGGCTTTGAACTCATAACAATCCTCCTGCCTCAGCCTCCCAAATGCTTATAGGCATATACCACCAACACCTGGCTCCTCTACTTTTGACTGTATTGCTCCATAGTCTTCTAGCTTCCAGTTTTGTTGTTGAAAAGCTAATGATACGTTGATTTAATTTTTTTGTATATTCTTTTCTTTCCCTCTGTGAAAGCTTTAAAACTCTTACATTTATCTCTATAGAGTTCTGGAATTTTGAAATAGTGTCCCTCAGACAGGTGTGGTAGTACACAGCTATAATCCTAGTACCTGGGAAGCTGAAGCAAGAAGATCACTACAAAGCTGGGTGTTGTGGCTCATGCCTATAATCCCAGCACTCAGGAGGCTGAGGCAGGAGGATTGTTGTGAGTTCGTGACCAGCCTGGGCTACAAAGTGAGCTCAAGGCCAGCCTGAACTGCATAGCGAGACTCTGTCTCAAAAAGACAAAAAAAAAAGAAGATCATTACAAGTTCTAGACCAGCATGGGCTACAGAGTGAGACTCAGTCTCAAAAATACATAAACACACACACACACACACACACACACACACACACAAAGGTGTCCTTTAGTGTTCTTTTCATTTAGTCACTGTAATGGGATGTTTCATTTCTTGATTTTACTTTTTTTATTAGTTGAGTGTAGTTTAGTTATTTTTTGCATGGATAGGGACGGAACTCAGGGACTTGTTTCTGTGAAGCAAGTGCTCTACCACTGAGCTACATTTTCTTCCAGCCCTTGGTACTCCCTTTTGATCTACAAACCTATATCCTGGTTTTCCAGAATGTTTTTTTTTTCTGTTTTTCCATGCTGTTTCTCTCTGCAAGTCCCATGCTTTTCTGGATTGATTCTCTAGGTTTCTTCTTTTATTGTTTTGGTGTACTTTTTCATAGGAGATGACTTCAACTTTGTTCAAATTTTTCTTTTTTTTTTTTTTTTTTTTTGTTTGTTGTTGTTGAGACAAGGTCTTACTGTGTAGTTTAGGCTGGCCTTGAACCCACTACGCAAACCAGGCTGGCCTCAAATTTGTGGTGATCCTGCTGCCTCAACCTCCTGAATGCTGGAATTATAGGTATATATCACCAAGCCTGGCTGTCCAAGTTTTTCTAATGAAAAAAAATTTTTTTGTACAGAGAATTGAACTTAGGACCATCGCACTTGCCAGGCAGGCACTGAGCTATACCCCAGCCCTGAAAATTGTTTTAATTAATTAATTTATTTTTAGGAAGAGAGGTTTATTTTATCTCACAATTTGTAGAGGTTTAAGTCCATAATCTGCTGGTTCCAGAGCAGAATTGGCATGGTGGGAGGACCTGCTGCAGAATAAAGCAGCTCACCTCAGACAGGAAACAGAAATTGTAGGGAGGGAGATAAGTCATTGCAGGCCACATCTCTAATGACCCACATCTTCTACTAACCGCAAATCAGCTATGAACTCCCATAATTGAATCACCTTCCAAAAGCCCTATGAGTGCATGAGCCCATAGTGGGAAACATCTAGATAGAAACCATTGCATTCTGCCTCTAGGCTCCAAATGGATACCCAGTTGTGTCCGTTTATGCAAAATGCATTTGTTTAATCCATCTCTTAAGAATTGCCAGAGTTGCAGCCAAGCATGGTGGCTCACACCTGTAATCCCAGCACTTGGGAGGCTGAGGCAGGAGAATCATTGCAAGTTTGAGGCCAGCCTGGGCTACAAAGTGAGCTCAAGGCCAGCCTGAACTGCATAGCGAGACCCAGTCTCAAAAAGACAAAAAAAAAAAAAGAACTGCCAGAGTCCCAGCAGTTTCAGCATGACTAAAGAGTTCAAGTCCAAAATCTTCTGAGACTTAAGGCAAAGTCTTAGGCACAAATCTCTGTGAAAATCAAAAGGAAAGTTAAGCACTGCTGACATACAAAGGCAAACAGTCCCATTCCAAAAGGGAAGCATAAGGGGATTTGTCTCATTGCTGAGACAAATACCTGACACCCAAAGTTAAAAAAGAAAAGGTTTATTTGGGTCACAGTTCGTGGAGGTTTCAATCTAGAGTTGACTGGCTCCAAGACTTTGTGGCATGTAAGAGGTATTGCAGAAGAGAAACAGTTCATGGCAGGCAGAGGGCAGCAAAGTAGCTGGAATTGCTGAACCATGTCCACCTTTATATCTCATCTAGAATACCTGCCTCTTGGGTGGTGGTATCCATACGCAGTGTGTGGCACACTTAATCCAGCAGTTATTCTGGGACCCTTAGTCCCAGAATAACACACCCCAGATCCAGCCACCTCTGAAAATCCCACCTGTGATTCCCTCAGGCTTTGAGGGCCATCTAGATAGAAGCTATAATATCCCACCCAAAGATGCATGCATATCCCTTTATGCAAAAGGCATTTAGCCCATCTCTTGAGAGTTGTCAAAGTCCTAACAGCCTCAGCATTGCTGAAAAATCCAAGTTCAAAGTCTCTTTTGATATTTAAAGCAAATTCTTAGCTTTGAGCCCTCAGGCAAATGAAAATAAACACTTCCAACATTCAATGGCACAAGACAGACATTGCCATTCCTAAAGGTACAAAGAGGCGGATAGAAAGGAATGGGAATAAAGTAAGACCAAAACCCAGCAGGACACATATTAAGTTCCCATAGTTCCATCTCCAATATCCAAGGCCATCTGTGGCAAAGTATGAACTCCAATGCTTATAATTCTTGCATATTTTCTCTTGGGCTAGGTCTGCCCCCTCATTACAACTTTCCTCAGTTGATCCACATTCCTGGCTTCTCCAGCCACCTGGGGCTTCCACTGTACCTTCAGCTTCACCCTCACAGCCACACATAGTGCCTCTCTAGGGCACACTGCCTGATCTTCTGGGTGTTCTGAAATCTGGATGGAGGCCTTCTTGACCCCACAACTCTTGCATTCTGCATGCACCTAAAACCAGCACCATGTGGATGATGCCAGGGTCTGCTGCCAGCTGGAGCTTCAGGCTTCTTTCTCTCTTATCTGTAG